ATTGCAACTGCTCCTCTGCAGAGAGGCCGTCCATGAGGTTGTCGATGGGCTGGTCGGGGCGCAGGAGGCCGCCCATCTCTTGGACGGCCTGGCTGGCCTTCTCCCACACGACCATGGCGCCAACAACAAGAACAACCCCCTCCGCGACCTTCAACACGCACTGGCCCTCAACCGTGGCATAGCTCGTCATCCCGCGCCTGTGCGCGTGCCAAGAAGGAATGAACAACAGTGGAGCCAAACCTTGAGCCACAAAAGCTACGGGATCAGCATGGGGGCCTCTTGAACCGCATTGGATGCCCTGGGGGGCCACCCAAGAGGCCAAAATCATTGAAGCCGAATGTGTCCGTGGGCTCTGGTGCCATGAACCACCGGTGCCTGCCCTTCGCACCGTCCGTCCGATGCCTGGCCAATAGCGACGCCTAGGCATCACAGTGTCGACGCCTAGGCATCACAGTGTCGACGCCTGGGCATCACAATGTCGGCGCGTAGGCATAACAACGCTGATGCCTAAGCAGTGCCATAGGGGTGGGCGAAAATAACCAAGCGGATGCCTACGAATGACTAGGGGCGTATGCCGAACGAAGCATGCCCCTGCCAACGCCTCAGCTTAGTGGGCGTCAAGGCGTCGCAAGCTACGCATCATGAGGGAGCATGGGTGGCACCATGCGGACCATGGAGGCCTCCCATCCACGCGATTAGGACGCCGCCCAGAGCAACGCGCACATGGAACACGAAGCCAATGTGAAACCTAAAATAACGCAGTATAACCCCCGACCTATTACCGATCATGCTGCATATCGCCACACTGCGCTATGAAGTATGGCACGTTAGTGCGTGATGCTGCGATAGTGTACATTATGAAGGGAACGACGGCAACAACGTTTAACACGCGCTGGCGTTTAGAACGAACGACGAAACGAAGCCGAACGTTTGAAACGAACGTTTAGGACGAAACTTGTGCCAGGCGAACACGAAAAACGAAACGAGGCCGCCGTTCAATGAGAAAGCGAAACGGACAACAAAACGAAAGTCGCTGACAACGCTGGAAACACAACGGAAAACGAAACGACCACGGGCTGGCTGCGGGGCTGGCCGTGGGGCTGGCCGTGGGGCTGTCTGGGGGACTGGCAGTCGGGCTGGCCGCGGGGCGGGCCAACGGGCTGGCCGTCAAGCGGGCCGTGGGGCGGGCAGCCGGCCAGGCAGTGGGGCTGGCAGTCGGGCTGGCCTCGGGGCTGGTCGCCAGGCTGGCCGAGGGGCTGGCCGTTGGGCTGGCCGTGGGTGGGGCTGGCAGTCGGGCTGGCCGTTGGTCTGGCAGTCGGGCTGGCCGCCGGACTGGCCGTGGGGCTGCCAGTCGTGTCGGCCGTGGGGCTGGCGTCGGGCTGGCCGTGGGGCTGGCCGTGGGGCTGGCCGTGGGGCTGGCCGTGGGGCTGGCGTCGGGCTGGCCGGGCTGGCCGTGGGGCTGGCCGCGGGACTGGCAGTCGGGCTGGACTCGGGGCTGGCCGTCGGGCTGGCCGCCTGGCTGGCCGTGGCGCTGGCTGGGCAGGCCGTGGGACTGGCCGTGGAGCTGGCAGTCAAGCTGGCCGTAGGGCTGGCAGCCGGGCTGGCCGTCGGGCTGGTCGTGGGGCTGGCAGTCGGGTTGGCCGTGGCGCTGTCCGTGGGGCTGGTAGTCGGGCTGGCCGTGGGGCTGGCCGCGGGGCTGGCAATCGGGCTGGCCCCGGGGATGGCCGTCGGGCTAGCCGTCCGGCTGGCCGTGGGGCTCTGGCAGTCGGGCTGGCCGTCAGGCGGGCGGGGGCCTCTGTGGGCAGCGCACTGGAGCCTCTGTGGGCGCGCTTGGGGCCTCTGCGGGCTGGGGCATCTGTGGGCAGCGCGCTGTGTGGGCGGCGTCGGGGGCCCTCGGTGGGCAGCGCGCAGGGGCCTCTGTGGGCGCACTCGGGGCCTCTGTGGGCTGGGGCCTCTCTGTGGGCTGCGTCGGGGGCTTCAGTGGGCGCGCTGGGGCCTCTGTGGGCGCGCTTGGGGCCTCTGTGGGCTGGGGCCTCTGTGGGCGCGTTTGAAACCTCTGCGGGCTGCGTCGGAGGACTCGGTGGGCAGCGCGCGGGGGCCTCTGTGGGCTCGCTTGACGACTCTGTGGGCTGTGGCCTCGGTGGGCGCGCGCGGGGCCTCTGCGGGCGCTGTCGGGGTGCCTTAATAGGCAGCGCGCGGGGGCCTCAGAGGGCGCGCTTAGGGGCTTAGGGCCTCCGTGGGCTGGGGCCTCAGTGGGCAGCGCGCTGGGGCCTCAAAGTGCGCAGCGCGCGGGGGTCTCGGCGCACTTGGCGCCTCTGTAGGCTGGGGCCTCTGTGGGCGCGTGTGGGGCCTCTGTAGGAAGTCGGGGCCTCTGTGGGCAGCGCGCTGGGGCCTCCGTGGGCACGTTCGGGGCCTCTGTGGGCTGTGTCGGGGGCCTCAGTGGGAAGCGCACTGGGGCCTCTGCGGGCGCGCTTGGGGCCTCTGCGGGCTGGGGCCTCTGCGGGCACGCTTGTGGCCTCCGTGGGCGGTGCCCGAGGGCCTCAGTGGGCAGCGCGCGGGGGCCTCTGTGGGCGCACTCGGGGCCTCTGTGGGCTGGGGCCTCTGTGGGCGCGCGTGGGGCCTCTGCGGAACGAGGGGCTTCAGTGGGCGGCGCGGTGGGGCCTCCGTGGGCACGCTTGGGGCGGAGGTTGGGGCCCTTGTGGGCTGCGTCGAAAGCCTCAGTGTGCAGCGCGCGGGGGCCTCTGTGGGCGCGCTTGGGGCCTCTGAGGGCTGGGGCCTTGGTGGGCTGTGTCGGGGGGCAGCGCGCTGGGCCCTGTGGGCGCGCCTGGGGCCTTTGTGGGCAGCGCGGGGGAGCCTCTGTGGGCGCGTTTGGCGCTTGTGTGGGCTGTGCCGGAAGGCCTGCGAGCAGCATGCTACGGTCCCTGTGGGCTTACTCTGGGCCCCAGTGAGTTGGGTGTTGGGGCCTCAGTGGGCAGCACGCTTCGGGCCTCTGTGGGCTGTGTCCGAAGGCATCAGCGGCATCAGTGGGCAGCGTATTAAGGTCCCTGTGGGCGCGTTTGGAGCTTTTGTGGGCTGTGTCCGAAGGCCTCAATGAGCAGCGTGCTGGGGCCTTTGTGATTTGGGGGCCTCTCTGGCCAGGTCGTGTAGGAATGCTACAGGGGGTGTCGAGCGGGAGCCCCTCTCGTCGCAGGTGGGCCTCTGGCGCCGCAACTGAATTGCACTCTCGGGCCACGGGCTCTTGAAGTACAGCTTGAAGAAGTAACGAACGGGAGCCCTTGTCGTCGCGACTTGGCCCACACCAAATTGACTGAATGACGAGGGCATCTCGAGCGAGAGCGCCACTCTTGATTTCGGGGGCCTCTCTGGCAAGGGCCTCTGCGAATACATCTTGAAGAAGTATCGAACACCAGCCCTTGTCGTCGCATTTGGGCCTCCAGCAATTTGACTGAATCAGGACAAAGTCTCGAGCGAGAGCGCCGTTCCTGATTTCGGGAGCCTTCCTGGCCAGGGGCTCTCGCAGTAAATCATGAGGAAGTATCGAGCAGGAGCCCTTGCCGTCGTGGCTGGGCCCCGCCAACTTGATTGAATTGCGCGGAAGTCTCGAGCGAGAGCGCCGTTCCTGAGTTTTGGGGGCCTCTCTGGCCAGGGTGTCTCGAGGTAAACTGTAAGGAAGTATCGAGCGGGAGCCGTTGTTGTCGTAGCTGGGCCTCCAAGGGCGCACTTTTCGGGTCAAGCCAACGCTCGAGCGGGAGCCTCGCTTCCAGAGGAAATGTAGCCGGCGTCGAGGCGAGGGCGCCCAGAACCGTTTCCGGAGATCAGCAATAATTGTTCTCTAGAAATGAATACTCACCAACATCAACAACGACAACAAACAACCAACCAATCAATCAACCAATCCATCAAACCAACAAACAACAATAACGTCAACAAATAACAGCAATTATCCTGGCGAAGTACCCGGCCATATGCAGTTGTGGGTACCGCAGTTGTGAATATCTTCTTCGGTGGAGCTCCCTATGTGGTCACGAAGCGCTGTACTGGATGGGGGGGACGCATGCGGGCGGTAGACCTTGGGCCTTCGGTGGAGCTCCCTATGGGGCCACGAAGCGCTGTACTGGATGGGGGGGACGCATGCGGGCGGTAGACCTGGGGCCTTCGGTGGAGCTCCCTATGGGGCCACGAAGCGCTGTACTGGGTGGGGGGGACGCATGCGGGCGGTGGACCTGGGGCCTTCGGTGGAGCTCCCTACGGGGCCACGAAACGCTATAATGTGTGGGGGGGACGCATGCGGGCGGTGGCACTGGGGCCTTCGGTGGAGCTCCCTATGGGGCCACGAAACGTGTGAGGGGTGTGCCAAATTGAGTTTTCGGGACGCATGCGGGCAGTGGCACTGGGGTCTTCGGTGGAGCTCCCTATTGGGGCCACGAAACGTGTGAGGGGTTTGCCAAATTGAGTTTTCGGGACGCATGAGGGCGGTGGCACTTGGACCTTCTGTGGAGCTCCCTATGGGGCCACGAAACGTGAGAGGGGTGTGCCAAATTAGGTTTTCGGGACGCATGCGGGCGGTGGCACTGGGGTCTTCGGTGGAGCTCCCAGTGGGGCCACGAAACGTGTGAGAGGGGTGCCAAATAAGTTTTCGGGACGCATGCGGGCGGTAGCCCCGTGGGCCCACGAAACGTGTGAAGGGTGTGCCAAATTAGGTTTTCGGATCGCATGTGGGCGGTGGCACTGGGGCCTTCGGTGGAGCTCCCGATGGGGCCACGAAACGTGTGAGGGGTGTGCCAAATTAGGTTTTCGGGACGCATGCGGGCGGTGGCACTGGGGTCTTCGGTGGAGCTCCCTATGGGGCCACGAAACGGTGTACTGGGTGGGAGAGGAGGGAGGAGGGGGAAGGAGGAGGAAGGAGGAACGCTGGGACCGTCTCTTCAAAACGAGGACCCAACACCACATAATGGTTGGGAACAACAAACACCCCTTCCGACAGGCCCCCCGAAGGCGGCCTGCAGGTGGTACTCCCGGGACCGCGGCACCTGCGCACGCGCTTCCGCACCGGCTGCAAGGACCAGGAAAACGACGACGACGACGACGACGACGACGACGACGACGACGACGACGGCGACGACGACGACGACGACGACGGCGGCAACGTTGAAGATGACGATCGCCTCGGCGACGGCGACGACGCAGACGCCGGCGCCAGGCAGCGGCCGCTGCCCCCCTTCAGGCGCCCCGGTGGCGCGTGCGCGGGGGGCGGGGCTGCATCCGCCGAACACCCGGTGGCCAGCGGGTGAGAAGGTTTGTAACATGTTGGATTGCCGCAGACGGGTGCCCTGTCTGCCTCCTCGTCGTCGTCGTCGCTTCCCTCCTGTCGTCCCTCGTCCTATTCCCGCTGCCGGGTTGGAGTTGTGTGGCGGCTCTTCCAATACAGCCGTATGCTGCAAGGACGCATTGAACCGAGCCTCATGTTTTCAGGTGCTGTCAGACGCGCCAGCCGCCTCTGAACCCCTTTGTCCACGCGGTGGTGGAAGTGGGGCGTGGCGCGCAAACAGCGGTTCATGATCCTGGCTCTGCGGGGGGGTCCCCGACGAGCTCCTCAGCGTACCTTCTACGCCCTCAGGGCTTCCAATTCCACCCTCCGACGCCTCCGAGTTGCCCAAGATGACTCCACAAAGGGCTCCAAAACACCCAAGAGGCCTCAACGCCAGGATCCCATAATCATGTGCACCTTTTTCTAGCAAGTTCAATTTTGAGGAATGTCTGAAATGAGTGAGTCTGAATATGAGTGGGGTTCTGCACGGTTCTGCACAGCTACAATGGCACACCTGGGTCTGAATGCAAGTGTGACTGGGCATGACTGGGTGTCCCTCCTACGTACATCGCGTTGACCATGGGGCTCCGAAGGGAGCGGAGTCGGGGGTACAACAACCAGTGTTTCGCTCGAGACACGCGCACTCACTGGGCGCGAGCGGGCAAGTGTAGTACGTACCCCCAGCGATGGGGTCAACAAGGGGCAAACTGCGCTACCCGCCGATCTCACGGCAGCCGTGCAGGCGCTCCACGCCGCCCAGCAGCTCGTCGAGGTTGCCGCGGACATGCACGACGCACGGCAGGGCGCCCAGCGGGGCGCCACACCGCGAGACCGGTCGCACTCTGATCGGTGGGAGCTCTCATGGCCACCTCGACGAAGACAGCGCAGCTGCGCGCGGGGTGTCCGCCGAGGACCGACTGGGCAACGCCGCCGCGGACCAGCTGATAGAGGCGGCGGCTTGCGCGCGGCTGCCGCCCGCGGACTTCCTGCAGACTCGCGGGGCCACGCTGCACGCCCCCCCCCCGACGCTGCAGGCGATGCTGGCCGGGGTAGGTCTGGCGCTCAAGGCCAACCACGGCAGCGTTGGGCACGCGCTGCCACGCGTGGCGCCGCCGGGCCGCTCCAGGGCCCCGGCGCCGCGCGCCCCGCCTGGGCGGCAGCTGTGGCGGCGCACGCAGCGAGGCGGGTGCCGCCAGGGCAGCCCGCAGCATCCTCGCGCCCGGCACCTGCCACAGCGGCCTGCGCTTGTTCGCCGGCAGCGCCTGGCGAGCGCACGCTGACTCGCAGGGGCCAGGACGGGTGGCCTGCACGCGATGCGGAAGCTCGGGCATGAAGCGAACGGATCCTGAGAGAGACTGGGGCCTTCCCCCAAGACCAGCGTTTCGTCCTGGGCCGTTTTCTGAAGGTCCCGGGACCTGGGGAGGCCCCGGGGATCCCGAAAATGGCGAAAAACCTACAGACCCGTTTCTGGAAGCCTCCCACTTGAGCGACGATCAAAAACGAGTCGTGCGCGAGACGACACAGCGACCTTGCGCGGTGGCTTGCGCGGGCCGGAAGCGCGGCACGCTACGCTGGAAGCGACGGCGCTTGCGCGCGACCGTACGCGGGAAGCTTACGCGCCAATGTCGGCGCAGACGACCCCGTTGTTTTGCGCTGCTGAGCTGGCTGAGCGCGCCGGCGTCGCCGCCGCGGGCAGCGAGCCCGCTCCTGCTCTCCGCCGCGCGCGGGGGAGGGGGGGGCGCGGAGAAGCCGCCGCGCCGGGTTCGCCCGGGGACGCCGGACCAGTGAGGTGCGCGCCGACCGGCTGCGAGCCGCGCGCACGACCTCCCCCTCCTCCTCCTCCTCCTCCTCCTCCTCCTCCTCCTCTTCCTCCTCCACCTCCTCCTCCTCCTCCTCCTCCTCCTCCTCCTGCTCCTCCTCCTCCTCCTCCATCTCCTCCTCCTCCTCTTCCTCCTCCTCCCCCTCCTCCCTCCCCCCTCTCCCACTCCCCCTCCTCCTCCTCCTCCTCCTCCTGCTCCTCCTCCTGTTCCTCCTCCTCCTCTCCTCCTCCTCTCCTCCTCCTCCTCCTCCTCCTCCTCCTCCTCCTCCTCCTCCTCCTCCTCCTCCTCCTCCTCCTCCTCCTCCTCCTCTCCCTCCTCCCCCTCTCCCTCGTTTCCTGGCATCCACCCCATCCTCCCCTTGGTGATCGTGTTATGTTTTTTTCTTCGTATTCTGGTTATACTTATTATTAGTATTCGGCGGTTGAGCATGAGAACCGTCCAAGGTCCAACAAGTGCAACCGCGAGGCGGCAACGGACATCCTCCTCTGTCCTGCGGCCCCGCTGGTCCTGCGGCCCCGCTGGAGCTCTGTTCCGCCGCAGAGCCAGCGGCAACGTGGGGCCCGCCCGACACCCCGGCCAAGGGTACGCCCTGCGCCTGCGCCCCTGTCCACGTCTCAAGTAACACACTCTACAACACACACACACACAAGCATACTCCTTTCCCAAAGGCGCAGCTCAGTTAGAATGGTGACTTTGTCGGCCACAGGGCTTCTCCCAATGGCAAAAAAACAGGTGGCGGTTCAGATCATATCACGCAACGCCTCCGACGAAGTCGTCCATTGAGGAATTGAGGAGAAGGAGGAGGGGGAGGAGGAGGAGGAGGAGGAGGAGGAGGAGGAGGAGGAGGAGGAGGAGGAGGAGGAGGAGGAGGAGGAGGAGAGGGACAGTGGCGACGACTGAAGCGACAACTGCGGCAAGAGCGAGGAGAAGGGGACGAGGAGGAAGAGGGCTAGGCGGACAGGGGGGAGGGCGACGAGGGGCATGGCGACGAGAAGGGGGATGGCGACGAGAAGGGAGAGGGCGACGAGAGGGGGGAAGGCGACGAGGAGAGAGGACGACGAGGAAAAAGCGGCGGGTACGGGGAGTTGTGCGCCCTTGGGCGCGCAGGGCCCCGCCCCCCCCCCCCAGTCGGATAACACGAGAGCAGCTGGGAGGGTGGGATGGCCTGGCACCGCAGCGTCAGGAAGTACCAGTACCTGGAGGCGGACGACGACGTCAACGACGACGAAAACGGCGCTGAAGCACCGTGCTGTGCCTGGACCCCCCGGAGGCCTCGCCCCAACGCGGTGCGGTGCATAGTTCTCTTCGGCTCCGAGGGCCGAAAAACGATGCACCGTACCACTCCTGCGTCGAAGATCGACGCCGCCTCGGGAGACGCCAACGCGGTGCGGTGCACGCAGGTCGTCTGAAGGGGAACTGGGACACACAAATAAATACGCACAAATCAAATAATTCCTCATATTTCCCCATATTTTCTGGGGTTCTGTTTTCCCCCCCACTTCCCATATTTTCCCATATTTTCGGGGGAATCGACGATTAATTGTGTCTGTGTGTTTCTTTCCCTCCTGGTCGTCCCCGGAACCGACGACGACGGCGCCCAGGACGACCTCGACCGCCACAGGCGGCGCCGGGGGCCGCCCCCCGCCGCGAGGTGCGGGGTCGAGCGGCGGCCGCAGGGGCGCGGAGAGACACGGAGAGAGGGGGGCAGAGAGCACGGGAGCGGCAGGGCAGGAAGCGGAAGGCGCAGGAGGCGCCGCCCGCGGAGTTTGTACGTGTAGAAAGAGAGAGAGAGAGAGATGTGTGTGTATACATATATATGTATATACATATATATATATATACAGATGTATACATATATATATATATATATACATATGTATACACATATATATATATATATATATATATACATATATATATATATGTATAGATGTGTGTCACGATGGCGCCCGTGGCCGACCTCGCTCCCCCCCCCCCCTCCCTCCCCCCCTGATTTTGCGTGACGGTTCGTGCAGGCGCCGTCTGAGAATGAGCCATTCCTGGGCATTCCCAGACGGCGCCAGCGCGAATCGCCTTGGTCACGTCCGTTCTCGCCAAGGGATGATACAAACGCTCTCGTGGGCCCAGCGACGATCCGAGAAATCCGCCGGAACTCCAAACGTTTGTGGTTATGTCGTTTGTCCTGTTTCGAGAGAGGTGTGCACAACTTGCCTGCCGTGGTAACTGGAGCGGTCGGTTCGCTAAGGGGGCCGGCCACGAGTAGGATCAGGGCTGGTAGCGCAAGAAAGGGGGACAACTCATACGACCAGAAAACCACTAAGCACCACGCGCGGCCTCCCGACGGATTGGCTGCACAAGACAATTCTGAAACGCGCAGACGCAAACACTGTCCCCGTGGTGCGTCCGACGGGCGGCCCCAGAGAAGCAACAACAAATACCTGGCTCGACCCAAATCAGGGGCACCGTGTTTGCTCCAGTCATACGTGTTCATACAATGCAACAGTGAGGCGCGATGCATTGCAAGGACTTTCACAACATGGGTATGCACAGCATGCCCAAGCACGGCGCGGCAGTGCATGTAATATCATGGTATGGCGTAGCCTTGAACAGCATCGATTTGCCTCCGAGCCTTGCGCGGGTCCCCGAATGCCCCAACTTGCACGCCACGCACATCGCCAGCTCAATGCACCCGGTCACGCCCCTGTGGTGTCTCGTGATTCTTGGTCGAAGCTCGTCCCCGCAGCTTTCCTCCTTCTCCTCCCAGATAATCCCACCAGCCCTCTGGGCGTAGGTGGTTAAACGGATTCTGTATGTATATCGTTTGTTCTCTCTCTCTCTCTCTCCCTCTCTCTCTTCCTCTCTCCCTCTCTGCCCAAACCCCTCCTTCTTCCCCTGCTCGGAGGAAAGGTTCATCACTGTTCCCTATTAGTATACACCCCCTTCCCCAGGCGACCTCGGCCAACCAGGAACCACGCGGGTCCCCCCCCCACCATCCCTGTCAATTCGCTGGCCCAACGGGCCAGAGGCGTGCTAAGATCTCCGGTAACTGGTCAACAAATATTCTACTTCGCGCGCGCGGGGCGGCCCCTGGGGGTCTCCGGGCGAAAAGTACCGCGGCAAGGTCCCGGCAGGTCCGGGTCAGAGATGCCGGACCGGGCAATTTCGACACCCCTCACGAGGATCGTGGCCTCCGAGGGGGGAGCCGCAATCGACTGCCCCCCCTCCCGCCCCAAGATGCCCCCAAGAGCTCCCCAAGAGGCCCTGGGGGCCCCCAAGACGCCGCCAAGGAGCCCCAAGAGACTCCCAAGAGGTCCCCAAGAGGCCCCCAAGAGGCCCTAAAGAGGGCTCCAGGGCCGGCGGAATGAGCGAAGCGATCAAATAACACAATACGACATGCACTGTGCCTGCACATTCAGAGCATGCGCGGCCAACCCGATGCGGCCCCCCATCCACCATCCCTGTCGAAAAAACAAAACAAAGCACACTTTGGGGCAAAGTCTTGAGTCATGTTCGCGAGGCCCGCGAGCATTTTGTATTGTTTGTGACAGGGACGGCGGGTGTCTCAGCATATTGCCTGCTGTGCAAAGGGATACCATCCTTAACAAACGACAATACAACATGCACCTCGCGGCTAAATCTGGATCATGTGCGGCCACCCTGCGGTCACTGTAAAGTGGTTTTTGACAGGGACGGCGGGGTGGTGGGGTATGGCGTATGGCCTGCTGTGCGCAGGCCCACCAGACACAATGATGGGCATTCCTTTTCGAAAAGGATGGTGGGGGCCGACATGTTCCCCGATGTGTGCTGTCACGTGCGCAGGAGCACCTGACACACTCTGCACGTGCCCCGAAAGTGGCGCACCTGGCGCGGCTGGAGTATGCAGCACACCTGGCGCACGCGGAGCACGTGGCGCATCTGGCGCACCAGGCAGGCGTGCCTGGCACGCTCGGGTTCCAGGGGTGTCTTGCGCGCGTGGCGCGGCTGGCGCGCGTGGCGCACCTCGCCCCAGCGTCGCGCACAAGGGGTCGGCTGTCCATCCAAAGACGACCGCTGAGCATGCTGAGGCTCGGGTGTTACTTATGTGTTGGGAGGGCGAGTGGGAGTGAACTAGACGGCTTGTAATCTAGGGGATGTCTTGATCAAATATACACTACTTCCCCTACCCAGCCGGCGGCCAACCTGGAACCATGACGACCCCATGAGGGCCAACACCCCCGATTCTTGTGGGATCCCTGCGCAGCATTGGAACCATAGCGCCGGACGCCACGTGTTGCACTTACGCGGACGACCGGACAGCTATGACCAGCACAGCAGAGGATATGCAGCACATACAACAGGAGTGGGACCACCTAGAAAGTCTGACGGCTTTACGGACCAACCACGCCAAGACGCACAGCTTTGTTATCTACCCAGACCGGTGTGATGCCGCTCAACTGGCTGTGATGAAAATGAAGAGTCTGGGCCTGGATCTTTGTCTCCACAGGGCCCGGCTGACCAACAGGGAGCACAGCAAGTTCGAGGAAGGATGCGCGCGACTCCGGCGTATCGCATCGTTGCCTTTGTCGCTGCGGCTACGACGGCTTGCGGTTACTGCGATGGCATTACCTGTGTCGACATGGGCGTTGGTTCTCACGCCACCTACGAAGACGGGCGGTTTCGCACAAGAAGTGGAGAGGGGCGGCCCCAGAACTACTCCGCATGCTTCTCATGGGGCATCAGGCAAACATGCGGTACCACCTGTGCCGGCGATCCCTGCAACTACTCCGCGATGCCGGTTGTGCAGGCAGGGCCAAGATGCCCTCGCATTCTGGGAGCGCGCTGTCACGAGTGCGCAAACGAAGGGACCGATCATGGCTTACAGAGCTCACCTGGCTACCATTGGCGCGCAGCAGGACGACAACTGGGAGTAGAGGGGACCTCAGGGAGGCCTCCGGCTCACCGACAGGACTGGCAAGCAGCTACACGAGTTTCGCCTGATCCTCCGATCTACCGAATGGTCCGTGCTGCAGAACAGGACTCGCCGGGAGCGCCCACTGGCGGCGGGCGTTCCTTTCCCGACCGCTGCACTGCGGACCGCCCAGGAGGCACTGCGTACCACTCCTGACTTGGCCTTACACATGACCGCGGTACTGTGTGGGTGTGCTGTGTCAGACGCCCTCCTGCAGTCCCACACAACAGGGGAGGTTTCGAATACTTGCAACCATTGCGGCGGGCCACACGTGCCCACGCTCGAGCACCACTACTGGGAATGTTCTGCCAATGACGACCTACGCCGGGGCGTCCGTGTGCCGACTGCTGGCCTTACACGCCGGCTGGGCTGGCCCACAACGGAGGTCACCAGGAAGGATGCAATTACGACTTGGCTACCAATGGTGTACGCCATGGCCAGGATAGGGCAACGGATGCTACACGCTCGTTTTGCCACGACACATGGATGGGGGGCCGCGTGCGAAGGAACGCGTCCCTACAACCCGGGAGGGAAAATCCATGACCACAACGGGGATCAGAACAATAAACGGGACCACAACCGTCGGGGGCACACATTGTTGACGTGATTTTGGACTTGCACGCGTTGCGGTGCATTACTACTGTGCTGCTGGGAAGGACCACTCCCTAAAAACGGTCGCCGAGGTTCTCCCTCAAGGCCGTCAAGAACGGCTACCGGCTCTACCCCAACCATCCCTTCAAAAAAAACATGCAAACTCACTCTGCCTCCACATTTGGAGCATGCGCGGACGCCCCGCGACCATTTGTCAGAGAGAGGGTGCCCGAACAATCTTACGCTGTCCCTGCTCGCGTTCGTCCGTCTTCGGGTCATCTCTCTGGCGGCCACGCTAGGAGGCCACGCTGAGAGACCACGCTGAGGCCACGTTGGGAGGCCACGCTAGGAGGCCACGCTGGGAGGCCACGCTGGGAAGCCACGCTGGGAGGCCACGCTGGGAGGCCACGCTGGGAGGCCTCGCTGGGAGGCCACGCTGGGGGGCCACGCTGGCACGCTTGGGGGGCTCACCGAAGAGGAGCGGTGTGTCCGTAGCGGTTTCGGTTCCTAGCAGCGAACGCGTCGTGGTTTCTAAGAGCGCCGCCAAGCACCCTCTCTCTTATCCGCAACTGCGGGGAAGTAGGGTATCTGTATTTTGCACGGACGGCTGGGGGGGCAGCAGATCCCACCTGCCTTCTGGGTGCAGGTAGCCGACCGAGTGGTTTGACACATCAGTGGCTGCTGCCTTTTCGCCTTACCGTTTCCGATGGGATTTCGAACTTCCACATGGCTCCAACATTGACCAAGAAATCTCTAAGCCGGGCCCATGAGTCCCTACTGGTTCCCAGTGGCTGGCGAACCAGGCGCGGCTGGAGCACGTGGAACACTGGGCGCACGTGGAGCACGTGCCGCACCTGGAGCGACTAGCACTCTTTGGCCTCAAGGGTTTGGTGCATCTGGAACCCGAAGCATTTAAGGCGTTCTTACGCGATATGCTGGCTCCTGGGTGTTCCGTATGTGTTGGGAGGGCGGGTGGGGGTTAGCACGACGGCTTGCGGGCGGGTGGAAACTTGACCCCTCCCACATACCCCCTCGGGGATGGCTGCCGCGAAACCCGACGGAGAGGACGTCCATCCCCACTGGGGGCCCCTGCTCCTCGGCGCCACCTCGAGGGGATGGCTGCCGCGAAACCCGACGGAGGGGAGATGCGCATCCCCACCTGGGGGGATCCTCGGCGCCACCACCCGACCCCCTCGGGGTGGGGAGGGCTGCCGCGAGACCCGACGGAGAGGACACCGGGCCCCCGGGGGGGAGCGGGTCGGGCAGCGGTGCCGAGGCTCTCCCAGTACTGGCGGCGAGCCCAGGGGGGAGTGAGGAGGGGCGGGCCTTCTCAGAGTCGGGTGCACGCAAGATTGACCCTGGGTAGAAAGGGTGGCCTTTGGTGCGCGGCCCGCCGGGGGGGCAATCACAGGCGCGCAGGAGGCTACTCTTGCATGGCGCTCGGCGATCGGGGGACCCTTCAGGGGCCCGCACCAAAGATCACTCCGGCGAAGGGTCACTCTGATGTGTGGTCGAAGGCTCGGAAGTCCCCCGGCCTTCTGAGAGGTTTCCTGAGCCTTCCCCGAAGACGCAGAAGACCTCCCGGAAGGCGCGAGGGCTTCTGAGAAGGCCTTCTCCTTCTCACTCCCCCCCTCGCTCGCCGCCGACAGTAGGGACGGGGATGCGCCTATCGACCGACATCAGCCAGGCATACTTACACTACGTTCGCGTCGGCCCAACAGAAGCGAAGCGACTGCTCCGAAACCTCATATCATGAGCACTGGGTCGGGCGCGTTCTGACCACACTGCTTGGGTCGCAAAATAACATGGTAGAGTTGTACTGCATGTTCGGGTCGGACGTGCGTCACCAGCAGAAATGCAGAGTACGACTAGAAGCGCAAAATGCATACGATTCGGAAACTGTCGGAGCGCCGCGTGGATTTCTTGGCCTCCCCCAAGCCCCCCTTCGGGGATAGACAGAACCCCCTTTAGCAAAACGTGGTTTAGGGACAACGACCTCGGGCCCAAACCTGGCGGGCGCAAGCCTGGAAAATGACGGCCGCGGCGCCCTCTCGAGAAGCGAAAGCGGACAACTCTCTCATCGACGTGTCGGGGCGGGGGTTCTGTCCACCCCGGACTCTCTCTTGCGACAGCCCAGGCGATCTGCTGGGGAGGCGCGGGAGGGGGAGGTGCCAGCCGATGGCCTGACCTTCGCGCTTTGGGCAGCCCCACGCCCAGAGATCCGACGTCGTGGATTTTTCAATACGCGCTCCCCGGAAGTCTCGACCCATTCCCCAGGACCAGTCTTTCATCCTGAGTCGTTTTTTGACGCTCCCGAGGCCTGGCGAGGGCCCCTCGGGGCCGAAATCTGCGAAAAACCTCCGTCCTGATTTTCTCAATGCGTTGAATCTCTGGGCGCGTGCCCGCGCGCACCTGTGCTGCGCACACCCTCCGGGCCACTGGTAGAGCCAGGCTGTCCGGGAGGGGGGCGGGGCGGGCGGCCCGGGTATATGCCGAGCCATCGCTGGATGCCCCCCCCAAAAGAAACTGCCTCCGTGAGGGATGCAGGAGGAGGGAGGGAGGGAGGGAGGGAGGGAGGGAGGGAGGGAGGAGAGAGGAGGGAGGAGAGAGGAGGAGGGAGGAGGAGAGGAGGGAGGAGGAGGAGGAGGAGGAGGAGGAGGAGGAGGAGGAGGAGGAGGAGGAGGAGGAGGAGGGAGGAGCAAGAAGTTGCAAGGGAGCGAAGATCTACAAACTGCACTGCTTCGGGCCCTGGGTGACCTCACAGATCAATCCGATTCGAAGCATGACGCAGAAAGAATGGGCCTGGAGCTCCAGTCGTGATGCCTACGATGCGGCATTCTTCGCGACGTCGGATCTCAGGAGAGGAGACGCAGCAGCGGGAGGTTGGCGGCGCCCAAAAGGCGGTGGCGCGAGCGCCCTTCCAAGAAGGCGGGCCTTCCAAGACGGCAGGCGGCTTCGTGGAGGCCCTGGGCTCCTCGGAGGCCTTTCTCAGAAGCCGCCAGGCCCCTCTCCGAGGCCCCCCGCCTTCTCGGAGGCCCCCCGCCAGGGTGCGTTCCGACCAGACTTTTGAGGCGAGTCCAGCGGTGGCGACGAGGGCCTCCCGGGAGGCCCCAGAAGGGGTAAACGGGCGAAAGGTAGAGGTAGTGAACGTTTTTCTGTTCTCGGCGGTGGACAAACCTCCCTTTAGTAAACCACCCTTTGGTGAAAACGGCCTAGGACCGAAACCGACGGACCTGGACCCGCAAAAATGACGGCCGCGCCGCCCTCTCCCGACCCGAAAACGGCCAATTCGCCAATCGACGTGTCAGGGTAGGAGGTCTATCAACCTCCGATATTCGGCGTTTCGACATTGGGCGGAAGGGGGGGGGAGGGGGGGGTCTGGCTCCCGACCTCTGCTAGGGGGGAGACTCCACCTGCTCGAAACAGGCGCCCAAAACAGCCAAGATCTACTCCACGGGGGGGGAGAGGGGGGTGCGAGGGCCCGCGCCGATCGGCAAAAAAATTGACACAAAAACGATGACGTATGGGTACCTTTTCCTCCTCTGATTCCCTTCGCGCCACCCCCTTGCAGGCACCGCCCCAAGGGGGCCAGCAGCCGCGGGTCGCATCATGCACGTGGCGATCTGCCGGGAGGGCAGGAAGAGGTTCGCCTGCGCCAGGGAACCGCGGGGAGGAGGAGGAGGAGGAGGAGGAGGAGGAGGAGGAGGAGGAGGAGGAGGAAGAGGATGAGGAGGAGGAGGAGGAGGAGGAGGAGGAGGAGGAGGAGGAGGAGGAGGAGGAGGAGGAGGAGGAGGAGGAGGAGGAGGAGGAGGAGGGGGGGGGCAAACGAAGGAGAATAGGAAAGGGGGCGGGGGACGGAGAGTCAGGGAAGCCTGCCAGGAAGCGCGCGCACGCGTCCCCCCCCCTCACCAGGATTGCGGAGGGTGTGGGAAGCTTTCTTTATTTATATGTGTTGTCGTTTCTAGTGTGTAAGTCGGGCGTGTCCCCCCACAAGGAGAGATTTTCGACGAAAAATAAGAAATAGTCCAAAACAAATACACGAACATGGCAAAACAATACTCCAAAAATAGTCCCCGGACAATGTTTTGACTATTTTTGAATACTCCCCCTGTAGAGGGACAGGCCCGACTTAACTCTTGTGTCGGGGAAACTGAAGACTCGAGTTCGGAGGACTCGAGTCGACCTGACCAGGCCGCCAGAAACATGACGAGACCCAGTCTGCAACTTGACGCGATCTCCCGCTGCAGACATCCCACGAAGACTGGACCGTCAACATGCAGGACGGGCCCCTCAAGAAGCGCCGGCGCATCCGAACTCTGGCGAACTCGAACCTTACGCTGCCCCTAGAAGGGTGGGGGAGGAGGAGGAGGAGGAGGAGGAGGAGGAGGAGGAGGAGGAGGAGGAGGAAGAGGAGGAGGAGGAGGAGGAGAGGAGGAGGGAGGAGGAGCCCAGCGTAGAAGGACGAGTTCGTCAGCAGCTCAGGCCCCGCGGGTGGAGGGAGGCGGCGGACAGGAGGATGAGGAGGAGGAGGAGGAGGAGGAGGAAGAGTCCTCAATATGCGACCAGTCAGGGGGAGGGGGAGGGGGGGGGATGGCGGAGGGGGAGAGGAGGAGGAGGAGGAGGAGGAGGAGGAGGAGGAGGAGGAGGAGGAGGAGGAGGAGGAGGAGGAGGAGGGGGAGGAGGGGAGGGGGAGGGGAGGGGAGGAGGAGGAGGAGGCGGAGGAGGCGGAGGAGGAGGCCTCACTCTGCGACCGGTCGGTGGGCCCAGCTCCCCCCCGGGGGGCGGCACCTCGCGGCGCAGCCCGGGGCTCTTGCGCGACGGCAAGGGGCCTCGCTCTGCGGCAAGAGGGGCGCGCCTCTCGGCGGCCCAAACGGCGGGCCCTGAAGGCGCCAGACGGGCCAGGAGTGCCCCGAAGGCGGCCCAAAGAGCCCCCCGAGGGAGAGACGAGGATCACGCCAAGACGCTCCCAAAGAGGCCTCGAAGAGAGGAGGGAAGAGGACGACGAACTCGAAGAGGGGCACCCCGCCACCACTCGAAAAAACGCGCCATGTGCTACGGCTCTCCCAAGCTTCGGAACGCGAGGCGTCGTACGTTACGGTTTCCTGCTCTCTCCTCGCAGTCGCCACCCAGAAGACCTGGGCTGGCAAGACGGGATGAATCGCCGTTCAGGAAAGCAATGCAAAAGCACGCTGAAAGAAATCTAGAGTCCATCGAAATTCGACACGAGCAGGCGAGAAGAAAGCGACAAGGCGATAATACATGAGGTCACGGCGATACCGAGGAATAAACAACATCAGGCTAGAGTGGACAGGCTAGAGTGGAAAGCCTAGAGGCCAACAAGCTGCGAGGCGAAGGTTGCCAGCTTCCCTACGACAATTTGACGCGCGAAGTTGTCATGTGATAGTTGCCCATGTGCTGGGGGGCTTCCTTTGAGGCGTCGCACCGCCACAAGTTTGGTGCGACGGTCAAACACACTCGAGGAGCAAAAGAACCCCCGCCCCCGGCAACACAGCCGGCCTCGTCGCCCCTCAGCCCAAAACTCCCGAGGCACCAGTCTACCTGGCCCGCCTCGCAGACCAGACACACCGACACCAGAGGAGTGAAAGGGATCAAGAAAGACGAGGCCGATAGCCCACCGGGGGCTGGCTACAGTGCTGTTATGACTGACACTGGCCACAGGAAATCTGGTGGCACCGAGAAGGCGCCGGCGACAATTCCAAAGAGACATCTTTGCAGATGAAAATTAAAAGCCTTGAGGAAAATCTGGTTCGGAGAGAAAACGTGCCTCGGGACTTACAATTGGTCTTTCCGAGGGTCTCGCCCTAGAACTATAGCAGGTCAGATGCTCACACCCAACTATAAGATGAAATGATGCATGGTAGTCTGGACCCCCTAGTCTGACGAACCCTCCCCCCGGGACAGGTTGGTAAAGACGAGTACAAGATTATGAACAAATAGGATCGCAAGAACGGATACAGCAAATTCGTGACGTAACGACCCCGGTTTTGGTTTATGACACCGCGTGGATCGTTCCACCTTGAAAGATCGGCGGCTTTCCGATCGCAGGACCGATCGCTATTGGCCGATTCTGGGCTACAAACAGCGTTCAACCTTGAACGCCCGCGGCGGGGTCGCTGCCGCATCGGCCCGACGCAAACCTTCCAAAATCTCTGAGAACCGACGGGTCCAAAGAATGAATCGAGCGCCGAAGCCTGTCCTAAGCGTTCAGGGACCCTCTGAGAGCATTCCGGAATTCTTCAAAACGATTCGGCTTCATGGATACGCAATGAGAGTACCCCTAACCGAGGGCCAACAATATTAGGGATAGGGGGTCTTGCCGACAGTTCTATCAAACCAAACCACCCACATGTATGATCCAGAATGCAGAGAAGGGGGCCGAAGTGAGGTCACGTCCTCATCGCGTTACTCGGGTTCGGGGTCCTTCTGTTCTCGATAACTCCTCCTGATCGGGCCTGGCCCGAAGCGGGCGCCCGAGAGGCCCGAGCTCCAGAAACGCTGGCCGTCTCTACCGGGAAACCAAGAGACACACCCACATCGGCTACACGCAACAGTAGCCTTGGGCTCAGATCGGACATGTCCTCCCCCATGCGGATCTTGAGCGAAGAATCACTAATGCTCCAAAAAAAAATCCCAGAATAATCAAGCAAGTAATCCAAAAATCGTCCCCATGCGATGTTTTGACTATGTTGGAAGATTCCTCCTGCAGAGGGACACGCCCGACTTAAGGCTACACTTAAGTCGGGCCGCTGAAAGAAGGAACGCTAAATAAGGCACGAAGCCCCTTCTTGGCCCTGTAAGCGCCTCCGTGCCCCAGGAGGGCAAGAGGAACAACACCGGAGGAACTTACGGAACATCGAGCCCCTTCCGAACCCAAACTGTTCCTTCTTTCAGCGTCTTGACTGTAGTCCAAAAATCGTCCCCATACGATTGTTTGACTGCAGTGAGGGCGCGGCCGCAAGAAACCCTGGCAAGAAACCCAACCCTGAAAACCCGCGCGCGAGGTGCGCCTGAGGGGAACCCGGGAGCGCCCTGAAGGCAGCAGCTCCTTCGACGGCTGCGGGAAGTCACCGCGCAGCGGGCGGAGCGAAGAAACCCAGGATACCCTGACGAAAAACACATGGTTTCTTGATGCGCGCCCCCACCGGGAAATTGTTTCTCCCTTCCGGGTACTGCTAAATCCGTGGCTGTTGAAATCGACCTCGCCGTGAAGGTTTCTTTACCCTGCCGCGCCTCAGTCCGGGAAGTTGCTTTTTCCTTCCGGGAGGGCCGCTTTAGCAGCCACGGTGTTAGCAACCCTCGCCCAGCTGGTGTATACGGCATCCTGGTGTATACATGTTTTGTTGTTTCCACGGGAAAACGGGGGAAAAAGTATACACCCCAACAACCCCCACGTCTTCCCCTGCCCTCAACCGAAAAACAGCCCGCCACTGGGTAATGTACACGTTCCAGTTTCCGACGTACGATTGTTCGACTACTTTGGGAAAGAGTCCTCCTTGCAGGGGGACGCGCCCTCGCCGAGCTTTCGAGATTCTTCGACTACTTTGGGAAAGAGTCCTCCCGCAGGGGGACGCGCCCTCGCCCAGCTCTCGAGATTCTTCGGCTACTCTGGGAAGAGTCCTCCCGCCACTGGTAATGTATACGTTCCAGTTTCCGACATACGATTGCTTGACTATTTAGGAAGAGACCTCCTGCAGGGGGGGCGCAGGATACCGTGACGATAAGCACATGGTTTCTTGATGCGCGCCCCCACCGGGAGGTTGGCTTTCGAGATTATTCGACTGCTTTGGGAAAGAGTCCTCCTTGCAGAGGGGGCGCGCCCGACTGGGAGGCGGCACGCGGCAGCGGCCCCGGGGCAGGAGCGGCCCCTCGGGTGCGCGGCTGCCGGGGGGCCGCGCGGGAGGCCGCGTGCCAGCCTGCGGCCCGGCGTGGCCCCCTGCAGGCGGATGCTGGACGAAAAATGAACAAACTTTCCAGGAAAATGCTCAAACATACCAGGACAATACCAGAAAAATGCCCAAAAATACCAGAAACATGCCAGAAAGCATGCCCTAACATACCCAACGATACCAGACAAATACCCCCAACATACCAGAAACATGCCCAAACATACCAAACACATGCCCAGAAATACCATAAACAAAAAAAAACATAAAAAATACCCCAAAATGGTCCAACCATCGTCCCCTGACTTTTCGTTGTTTAGCTATTTTTGGACCTTCCTCCTGTAGAGGGACACGCCCGACTCAACACTGAAGGTCACGCAGGCGAAAGGTCACTCTGACGCGTAGCCGACCACATCGCTACTCCCTAAATCTCTGTCGGGGTGCATTCTGACCACCAGAACCCCACCAGACCTCTGGGCGCATGTGGTCTAGCGCGTTTTCTCGTTCACCTTCCCTCTCCCCCCTCGGGGATGGATTTCACGTATTAATTTACACCACCTCCCCCACATTACCAGAGACGAAACGGGAACCATGACGACCCCTCCCACTATCCCTGTCGCAACACAGTACATGCACTTTGCGGCAAAATCTGGATCACGCGCGGACACCACGCAGGCACTCTGCATTGTTTTGGGGCAGGGACGAAGGCGGGTGGGGCTGGCATCTTGCCTGCTGCGCGCAAGCCCGTTGCCCCTGTCAAAAAGACTCGAAACCTGACCGAACAAGAACGGGAACCGCTGCTTCTCTGAACTTGCGTACGCGTGCGTGCAGGGATTTGCACCCCAAACGACATGGGTGAACATGGAGTGCCATCGCATGGCTTTCCTTGGGTATTCAGGTGCTTGCCAGTGGTAGCTTATGTTTAGCGGTTGCCTGTAATTGCTTTGGTCTAGGGTTGCGCGTGGCCTGAATACGTGTGTACGTATGTGCGTGTTTCTGCACGTGTGCGCATGTGTGCCTGTGTGCGCGGCTATGTGTGTACGTGCGCGCGCGCGTGACTGCAATGTGTGTGCGGGGTGGGCGGGACGGGGGGGGGTATACAGCGTGCGTGCGGTGTGTGCTGGGCGGGCGAAAGGTGGGGGATACGGTGTGTGTGTGTGTGTGTGTATGTCTGTGTGGTGTGTGTTGTGTCTTTACATACGCCTTTCCGTCAGCGAAGTGGCTCTGCCTAGCCGCCGACGCAAAAAATGTGTTGTGACGGTGCCGATATTGATGATGATGTTGACGATGAAAATAGCCTCTTAGGAGCTCTCCGAAGACGATATCGGTCCGGAATCACCTCTAAAATCGATGGTGTCAAAATATATCGAGCGAAACGGCCGCGTTGTTTGATTGAGGGCCCCCAAGCAGTTGCTTAAGGACGTGTCGCGCGAGAGTCTGTTGTGGAATAATTCGACGAATTCGCAAGCTCCCTAGATATCTCATGTATCTAAAAGCATCCCCACCGACAGCCTCATATTGAATACAAGACGTCTTAAAACAACTCGTCCAACATCCACTTGTGTCGAGTATGTCTCACGCGAAACGCTCATTTTAGGAAGAATCCACGGACCGACAAATACTTGCAGCTGGGGGTCAGAGGTCCGTCGCGTGTTACTTCTTCATCAGTTCCTTACTTATCATCATCTAAAAATTCCCACCACCTTCCCTTTCCGAGAGAGCGCTCCCCGCCGTCCGCTGAACGAACAATTTTTTGCGGCGGCGAGCCGGTTGTCCCTCGCGGCCGAGTTCTGCATTTGTTCCTCACTCAACTTGGCCTAACAAACTCCCATCACCGTCTCGTTCCACTAAGGCGATTCCCGTCATCGACCACAGTGCCTGCCTCATGTGGGCGCGTTAGAACCTGGGCCAGCACGGGAACCGAAAGAGCACTTCAGGAACTTGGCCGAGAAGCCTCATGGCACCGTTCGCTCTTGGGAGCTCCAGCGTTACGAATTGTTTCACGTCGCCGTTCGCTCTTCGGATCATTGGTGCGAGGAGCTGTTTCGCGTCATCGCTCGCTCTTGGGAGCCATGGTGTGAAGGGTTGTCCACGTCACTGTTCGCTCTTCGGAGCCTTGGAGTTCAGAATGCCTGCGTCACCGCTCGCTGTTGGGAAGCTGTTTCCGTCGACCTCCGCTCACGGAAGGTAGACCAGCGTGTCTTGGTAGCGAGGGCGCTAGATGTGTTTTACTTCACTGTTCGCTTAAGGATGCCCTTTTGAACGGCTAATGGTGCATCTGTTGGGCCCTTTGAGGGCCTCCTTGGAATCTTCGGGGGCCGTTTGGGGGCCCTCTTGGGCCGTTCTGGGGCTCTCTTGGACCGTCCTAGGATGGCTTCGGCAAGCTTGCAGTGTCTGTTCCGTCACTGTTCGCTCCGGGGGGGCCTCCTGAAAGGCCCTCATCTTGAGGACCCGTTGGACTTCTGGGGGTCTGTGAGGCCTCTTTGGGGCCCTCTTGGGCCGCCCTGGGGCCCTCTTTGACTATCTTGGGAGGCTTCGCCCGACTTGGGACTCATGGGGCCCTCCTGGGGGCCTCATGTGGCTCCCTTGAAGCCCTTCTTAGGCCGTCTAGGGGCTGTCCAAGGCAGTATTGAGGCCCTCGTGCCCCTTTTTGAAGCCCTCTTGGGAGCCCTCTTGGAACGTCTTAGGGGCGATCTCGGAGGCCCCCAGGGCTGCCTTTGGCCGTTCTTGGCCCCATTTGGAAAGCTATTGCATTTTGCCTCCCCCATGCGTCTTGGCCCCATGGGTGCATTTTTTTCTCCGCGATGGAGCGCGGAGGCAGCGATGCGGCGATGCGGGGGTCCCCCGCCTGAGTGCTGTCTTTCTCGCGTCTCAAAAAAGGACCTGCCTACGAATGGATGGCTGGCGCCCACTGGTAGGCAGCTCCACGTGCGCATATAAATCGCACGAGCGCTTCGCTGCAATGCACCTCTGTCGTCTACGAACCACACGCGCTGTATGCACGCTCTCCCTCGCGTTCCTGGCTGGAAGAAGTCGCGGGCGAGGCCTCACTTGGGCACTGTAAACAAGCTTGCATATGCGAGGGTGCGGGTAATGCGCAATTCTTAAGACCCTGCAACGAACAATTCTTCAAGTTCGAGAGCGAAATCGACAAGTGCTCTTCAGTCTGCCTCTAGCACCCTGCCGGATTGTGGTAGCAGTCGCGGCACGCCCAGCCGCAGCACCACTCCTTGTCCCGGCAATTGTCGGTGGAGAGCCAGTCGCAATCGCAGCCCCCGCTGCAGCCGGAAGGATTGATGCGCGGGCGCGACTCGGCCGCCAGGCTCTGCTGGTTCGCAAGCAGGGCATGGAGCCAGGGGCCCTCCTCCTCCCCCCCCCCCCCCCTCCTCTACCGCCTTCAGGCTGGCGCGTGTAGCGGTGCGACATGCTGTCGGCGCGCGGCACCCGGTCACGCGAGGGCCGAACGCTGAGAAGGCGCGCAGCCCGATGCGCATCCAGGTGCCGAAGAGAAAACTCAGGAGAACCGGAGGGCGAGGGGGAGAGGAGGAGCGGAGGCGGAGGAAGAGGAAGGTGGAGGTGGAGAAGTCTGAGGAGGAGCGCAGCATCAGGATGCGGAGCTTTTCTCCGCGATGGAGCGCGGAGGCAGCGATGCGGCGACGCGGGGGCCCCCCGCCTGAGTGCTGTCTTTCTCGCGCCTCAAAAAAGGGCCTGCCTACGAATGGATGGCTGGCGCCCACTGGTAGGCAGCTCCACGTGCGTATATAAATCGCACGAGCGCTTCACTCGATGAAACCAATGGCCAGCACCTCGAGCCACGCAGTCGAAACCGCGTCGCGCGCGGTACCGCGTTGCCACGTAGGGAATGAACTAAGACCGCTGCGCCGCGGTCGAGGGTCTCGACAGAAGCCTCTGCAACTTGTGGTCACCCAGAGCAAAGGAGCGGCTCTTCAAACCTACACGCAAGCAGATCATCGGATCGGTGGCCAACGCCTCACAGGAGACGGTCCTAGCGGCAGGGGCGCGGGCACTTTGCTTGGTTGACCTTGCGGCAGTCGATAGCGCGCTGTGTCTGCTGCTGGCAATCGTCCCCGCTGTTGTACATCCACTGGCAGTTGTTGCCCGGCAAGTCAACGATGTCGAAGCAATAGCGCTTGGTGCACGGGCTCGGTTCACAAATCGGGCAGCCGTTCCTGTACAGGTTGTAGTCCCGGCACATGCACGCCCCCTCGGTGGCTTGTGCGCAGTCGTCGCCGGGAGGAATCTTCATCCAGCTGCACCCTTTTGCCATCGGGCCTGGCACGTCGGTGGCGTCGCATATCGTGCCCGCTGCGTTTGCGCCCTGTCCGTGCTTGTGGACGTCCGCCTTGCGCGCCAAGAGGGCGGCCTCATCGGCGCCACACTCGCCCGCGCCGCACGTCTCGTCACCGGCGGCCCCGGGGGCCAGCAGCAGCAGGAGGCAGGCGGCGGCGCGGCCCCCGTGCATCGCGGCGGCGAGGAGACTTCAAAGCTGCCTCTGCGCGAGCTTCTCGAACGCTGGCGACTCCGAGGGTCGCTGCCGGGCCGAAGCGGCTTGAGCCAAAATGGCTACGGTGGCCTCATGGGTGCATCTTGGGGCGTTTGGGGGACCTCTTGGGCCGTGACGAGGCCATCAGGAGCCCTCTGGGAACGATCGTGGACCGTCTTCGGGCCCTCTGGCGTCTCTCTGAAGCCTTTTTGGGGTGGGGGTCGTTGGCCGTCTTGGAAACCAATTGGGCCGTCTTGAAACCTCCAGGACCGAAGGAACCTCCAACATAACCCACGGAGGGCGTGTTAGAATTCTCGCCGCGCCACCCCCCCTGGGACCTCCCCGTTGGGGCTAAAGTTTTGTAAAACAACTCCTCTCACTAGCGCCGTTTCTGTCAGGCCAGGTGCTGCTCCCCACCCGCTCTGTTCGCAGGCGGGGGCATGCACGCCACCTGCTCCCGAGGCCACGATCCCTTGCAACAGACGATGGATTCGCGCTATGGAGGCAGCGATCCTTCCTGAAAAAAATCGGTGCGTCCGCGTCCGAGCTTCCAAGATGGCCCAGCAGGCAACCAAGATGGCCCAAGATGCCTCGAAGGCGGGTCAAAAAGGCCCCCAAACGACCAAAAATACTCTCACAGCGGTCCCACGACACCATCCAAGAGGGCCCAACACAAGGGCCCAACGAGGACGTCCAACAGGCACGAAGAAACCAATATCATTGATTCCCTATAGATTTTTGCAGAATTGTCGCAGTATCCTTTTCCCGGGCTTCCGTCAGC